AAAAAAAAAAAAAAAAAAAAAAAAAAAAAAAAAAAAAAAGCATCAATGGCTAAAAAACAACAGTAACAGGTTGTTTTCTATCTAGGATACAACAGCAGGAATATTACTATAGATAAAATTACACTAAGTCTCATTATGGCTTACCTTCAAATGTTTAAAATTAAAATCCAGCAGCAGATTATGTTTTCTATAACGTAAAAATGTTTCCCTGAGATCCTTTGCCACATTAAAAAAAGCCCAATCCAAATTTATAATATTTAACTCATTCGTAAATCAGTAGGAAAGATAGTTATGTGTAACATTTGGTAACGCTATCACTGAGGTAGTTACTACATTTTATTTAGCAAAAAAAGCTAATATAAAGGGAGTTCTTCTAGTTTAAATGACATTAGTGCAAAACCACAACAAGCAACAACTGCATAAATAAACATTAATTAGTGGTGCTTAAAACATTTTATCATGTAACATCTTCCTTCTCTTGTAGATAGATGATTCATGGAAAAAAAAAAAGATTTAAAATGCCAAGTCTATATATATAAAACTCTATATGCACTATACTGGAGGTCATATGTAGGCAGTTTACCAAAGATTATGTATAGGAGTAGTTTTTGTTTGTTGGAGGGAGTGTTGGACACAAGAGTTAAACAGAAAAGGTGCTGCTCTGGCGGGCGAGAATGTAATCCATTTTCTTTTTAGTCTTTGGCTTGAAGAGGATGTAAAGGAAAGCTGAGACCATCATCAGGAAGCAGATCACTGTCACTACAGCCACTACCAGCCATGTAAAGGTAGTATCTGTAAAAAAAAAAAAAACGACAAAATAATTTACATTCTGCTATGGTAATTTGTTTTAATGTGGCATTAGCTTTTTTTTTTTCATATTTTGTGTTACATTTGGAAACAAAACATGCTATTTAGCTTCTTATTAATACATCCTCAGACAAAGGTTAGAGCTCTTGTTTGGAGAATTTATGGAGGCGCTCACCTTCCAGGTGAAGTATTGCAACAACTTCCTGTCTCCCGCTTGTGTTCTGAGTGACGCACTTCAACTCAGTCTGCTCATCTTCCTCAGTTATGACAGCGATAATAAGCCTCTGTTCGATCTGACACATTTCAGACACCCGAGTTACCCTGAAAACAGCAGGAAGAAGGCAGCCAAGCAAGCATAGTAAATAGTTGGTATTAAACTGTATTTAGCCTTTATAGTTTAACTTTTTTCTCTTAATAAGTTTAGGCAGGCATCTCTAAACTAAATGCTGCTGCAAAAACAATGTTTATTTCCAGGTTAAAATGAATTCATTGCAGGGAAATATACACTCAACGGACACTTTATTAGGTACACCTGTCCAACTGCTCGTTAGCACTTAATTTCTAAGCAGCCAATCACATGGCGCCAACTCAGTGCATTTAGGCATGTAGACATGGTCAAGACAATCTCCTGCAGTTCAAA